ATGATGATGATGATGATGATGATGATGATGATGATGATGATGATGATGATGATGATGATGATGATGATGATGATGATGATTAGGTAGATTAGGATGAAGAGGAGGTGGGTGGGATGGCGGCGGTGACCATGGTGGTGGTATCCTTGAATTACCATTGAATTGGCGTGTATGACTGCCAATAGCACGTGTCCAGTAGGGATGTGACCGTCTATATAGTGTCTATGATTTTTGTATTTCCCGTATCTAAATAGGCGCGGATCCGTTCAACTTTAGTCAGAAAATTTATCTAATTTCCTAAAGTCCAAAAACGTGTAACCATATTTCAAGTGTCTAGTATGCTCCTTTAAGCTGAAGTATCTCTTATTGATCCGGCAGTTTCACAAATCATACCCACAAACAATGTTTAACGTCGAAAAAATTGAGCAATACTACGGCGCAGGCGGTTGAACTGAGCAAATTTGTCTGGAACTTTAGTTATAAAGAGTCAACATTTATTCGTCATTTGCACAATACATGATGAATACTCTGCTCATTCCACAAAAGCGGAATTGGACAGCGCACTAGCAGCCCCAAGTAAACTCGCGCATTTGAATTACGGCCTGTTCTAAAATTCAAAAAACTAACTTAACTATCTTATGCATTATAGCATAAACACACAATGAAACATTTCGACGTAATCATGAGAATTCCTGCATCTCCATTTGTTTAGAACGTAAAAATAACACCACAAAGATGACGACAGTTATTTCCGGAAGTAAGTATCTATAGAAGCCGAAATGTAATGTGGGTTCATCAATTCTTTTAAACCAGGTACAGTCTTTCTAGCTTAGTATAGTTCTCCTCTTATTCGCGAAATATTTTTGATGGTATAGTTGGCGATTAAGCTACTGATTTGAGACTGTTTAACCAACTTTTCTGAATTGCCAAAAATGTCGGGTTACTAGGGTTTTCCCAAAGTAAAATTAACTTAAAATGTAAAGTCATTAGTATGAAGCCGCTTACTGCCTGATCTTATTAGTTCGAATTTAGAAACAGAATCATGCGATTGTTTACCCTGCAAGTCTTTATAACTGTACTAACGCCATCCGATAATTGGTAATGCTTGTTGAAAGATAAACAAATTCCACAAGAGGCATCGAACGATATAGCACGCACTTTCTTTCACATTGGTAGCACTTATTAACTGGAGGGGAAACAATAACGTCTTCAGGATGGTCCTTCATTTTGGAAAAAACATGCTCACCAACTATCCGTCGTTTTATAAATATCGATGGTCCAAAAGTTTATCAAGTTGTTTGGGAACAGCACGTAGAACTCCGGATAGTTCCGTCCAACCAAAAAATTTGGCACTGGTACTATTCTGAACAGTCGGTTATTTCAGTCATGGATAAAATTTTAGTGGATGAATCCAACAAAGATGGATCTGCCGAAAGTATTTTTTTTCTGTCAATGCTTACACAAGAAAGCCCAGAGTCTGCGTGATCACTGGTCACTTTACTTCAGTCATTAGTTTTTTTGTCTTCCTTGCCCTGGTAGGGAGCACCAATTCAACTTGTTATTTTAAAAATATCTATCAGCCAGAAGTATTTGCAAAACGAAGCATTAAAATGTAATGTATGTTCTTCCTAAAGGTAAATGGAGAGCAAAGCATACGCTTGAGGGAAAACAGTACCTATTCCTCTGCATATGATATTTCCTTTTGCTGGGATCAGATCACCTGACTTTACTGAGCACTTTGTGGTGCGTCGGAAACTAGTCACGTAGGTTGCCTTTTTTCTGCTCGGAGACTCCTGATCCGTGTAACTCACGTACATAGTCGTTTTTGGAGTGCATTACACTCAAAGCTACCTGGTGTCACGGTAGCACAAGGCAATGTCAATTAATGGAAGTATGTTTTAGACAGATAAAAGCGTAAACGGGAATACACAATGTATATTCCCCATCGCAACCGAACGGACGGCGAGCTCGCGACATTTTGGTTAGAGGCGTTGGAATTCTAACCAACGGTTTGCAGGATCGAGCCGCAACTCAGGGTTGGGTATGGCCGACTGACGGCGGCTAGTAAGCCAGAAATAACTACTTTAGTCTCTCATCCTTGTCGGTGGACTAACTCATGAAATGTCAACCGAAATTCCGAAATGCGTTTTCGTTTCGAAAAGATTAATTAAGTAGTGTTGTAAAAGTCATTATCCTGCAGCATAATTCTACCATAATTCAGTTAGCTGAGGATACCAGTTTTCGAAATCACTTCTTTCCGGCTGCATGTAAGAAGAATACTCTGTAAAAAATGATTTCTAATGTAGCAGGCATTTTTCTCATTGATTTTCTAAGCCCCCAAAAACTTAATCATATTTCATAGGAAACACGCAAAAAAAATATTCGTTCTCTTACTCATTCGGTAGAAATTGACGTCTTCCTCCAGCTTGATACTTCAACAGAAGTTATATATTGGTTTTTAAAAAGTTTCCAATTTTGATATTTTTTAATACTACGAAATGGCCGTTTATAAAACGTCGCAACTCTGCGGGTTGTAAAGTTAAAAATATGGTTGAAATCCATTGTCAAATTTTGTCAACCCCACATGGTCTCCTCTTGATACTGAAAATAAATGTATGGCTTTCCGTACGCGGAAAAATTACAACTTATAGTTTGGAAAGCCTAAATGCAAGTGTAACGGTAGGACGGGTTCAAAATGATTCGGGAATTGGAAAAGGTTTTGGAAACCGATTTACACCCTTTCTTAGAATAAAAAATTAAAGGAAGACGTAAATTTCTACCGAATGCGTAAAAAAACAAATATTGTTGGGCATTATTTCCATGAAATATGACCGAAGTTTTAAAGGCATCGAAAATCATTGAAAAAATGCATGCTACATGAGAAATCATTTGTTACAAAGTGGGGTTTTTGCATGCGACCGTAAAGATGTTCGTTTGAGAGCCTGCATCCTAAGGTGACTAATTTGTTATAGAATTATGCTGCAAACTGATTAGTTTTACAACGCTGCTAGCGTACACTTTTCGGAACGAAGACGCATTTCATAATTTTGGTTGGCATTTCATGAGTTAGCCCACCTACTCTAAGTAGCCATTTTTTACGGAGCTTGGTTTTTGGTTTCAGCCGAATGGATGGTTGTTCGAAAGCCGGTATTCAAGAGTAACTTAATTTTTATAGAATTATGCGGCGAAATAATAAATTTAACAACCGGATTAAATTAGTCTTTTCAAAACGGAAAAGCATTTCGGAAGTTCCGTTGACATTTCATGAGTTAGCCCACCTACTGCATATATATAGGCAGAATGGCATTACCGAAAAAGACAAGGGAGACTATGATGGCCATTTCGGGCTTATTAGCCGTCGTCAGCCACTCATACCCAACTCCGAAGTGTGGAACACCCGAATCTCGAACTCGCGACTTGTCAGTTAGAAGTCCACGCCTCTAACCACTGGGCCACGAGCCCGTTGCCCTGTCGATTTTCGATCGGGAATATACAATGGTAGGGGACGCTCACCGATCTTTCATACGGAACTCATTCGTTCCGTTGTGCCTTAAGGGCTCTCTCTCGAGCCCAACCAAAAGCCGCGCAGCGGCGCATGATATATAGGCAAATTGGCATTACCGACAAAGACAAGGGATACTGGAATGTCCATTTCTGGCTTATAAGCCGTCGTCAGCCAGTCATCAGTGAGCGTCCCCTGCCATTGCATACTTCCGATCAAAACCGACAGGGCAACGGACCCGTGGCTCAGTGGCTAGAGGCGCTGTACTTCTAAATAACAGGTCGCGAGTTCGAGCCTCGGGTGTTCCACACTTTGGGGTTGGGTATGACTGGCTGACAACGGCTAATAAGCCAGAAATGGCCATTCCAGTCTCCCTTGTCTTTGTCGGTAATGCCATTCTGCCTATATATATGTATATACATATATATATATATATATGAGAAGAAGAGGCGATCTCGGGAACCATGATTGTATTGTCCTGACGTTTCAAAAGCAGACAAGCTTTCATCGTCGGAGGTGAGTATCGTACGGCATCACACAGTATTTATAGGATGGGGATAGATATCAGTCATGCTAACACGGTGGTAATTATAGGGGGGAGGAGGTGGTTAATCGGCTTTGGCGCTAATGGCCCGCATACGCACAGGAATCGTCTCTGTAGTCGCCGGGGCAGAGCGGGAGGGAGGGTGACTGCTGTCAATCTGCCTGTCACTCGTCGGAGGGCGGCATTTGAACGTTGGTGGCCATCGCCCGCATTCGCGTTGACCTTAATTGTCGTGCTGGGTTGCTAGTCTTAATTGCATCCCTCTGACCGCGTTTCTCCCCGTCTGCCGGAGTATGGCTTCCTTCGAAATCGTTTTTGACTGGAACTCAGATCATTGCCTAGTTTATCGGTATTCAAATTGGAATTAAGCAAGTCCACTTATCTCTGAAGGTACAAAGTCATTACAGATCGTTTCATTCCCCCGAACATTCAACTCAACGGCGGGCTCCTCTGTTTCGCCATCCAGCTGATGGTTTGTTCGATTTGCAAGGAAGTATCTAGGTCGCATCCGCCCGCGCTCTGATGATCGTCGCGGCCCTGTTAATGCCCCTTGCTCGCATCGAGTCTAGACAGACTATGGAAGATCGTCCCTTGGACTCCACTAGCCTCATCGGATTTAGGCATTCTCACTCCCTGACAAGGAACGCTTAGGATCCATATATACTCTCACCTGCAGGGCAGCCCTGTCTCGCAAGTACATCGTCCTTCCCATGAGAGACAGTTTTTTCGCATTAAAAAGTAGAAAATCATACTGATGTATGTTTTTTTCCAACAAATTTTTGAAAGGATGTTTTACACCTCCCCACTATTCGCGTCTGACTGCCTATTATGAACGCAAATTAAACGCTGTACAGGTCAGCTGATTTGATTCGAGATTCACTTGTGAATGCATTTTTAAAGTATTTTTAATTTGCAGTGACAGTACCCTGGTTTGTGGTAAAAAAAAACATATTTAATTGAACCGATCAAGAACCGCCAACTTCCAAGCGGCATCATGATCGTCTTTCCTTTGGCTCTACCAGTGAGCCCTGTCTCCTCTG